ACAAGTTGACCTGGCTTAGTTATGTGTGATCTAGAGAGGATCTAAGTGCAATGTCACAGCAGGATTTTCGTTATGCTTGTTAGTGTGTATGTGTGCTCGGGCAAGTATGTGTAAATTTTAAATCCATTCTTTACTCAAATCCTTTACTTAACATGTTAAAAATCCTTTACTTTAAACTGAATTTTTTCTTAAACTCCATACGCAAATCTAGCAAATTGTCAACTTTAAGTTTGAGTACATCTTGCGAAATTTGTAAATTTTTCAAAATTTCTTTTTTCTTTTTGGCAAAATTGGTTCAGGCTATTTTATAATAATGATGATGTCTTAAATCTTCTAAGAATTAACTTTACATTAAGATTTCAAATGTTTCCTTGAATATTTTGTTGTTTTATTCCCTCGATCGATCTCATTTATTTCAATGTTGTTCCGATTATTGTTTTAAGTGCCAGATTTATGTTAATTTTTTCTAGATGAGGATTTTATCCTTTTTCTTCTATATGTATATTTAAAATATATTTTAAGAGCGTTGCTTGACAAGCGAGAGAGTTGTAGGGGGCCGAGTTTGGTAAAGAATAATTGGCTATTAATTGAGAGCTGAGTTTATGATTACCTGATCTTACTTAATTTGCGAAATTTTATAAAATTTTGGACACTTTTAGATAAAAAGTTGTTCTAAAAATTTTGAAACATAAAGAAATGATCGTGAGCTGCCGATCAAAATATGTTGCTTTTATGGATTATAGATTGAGCAAGATTTGGCTGCGGTAATGCATTCTCTTATCAATCCATGTTCATTATAAGATTCATTACTAATCTTTTCATAAAAGAACGGAAACATATCATAAGAACTATCTGACGATATGTATGCATTGATCCTCGCAAGACTTCGAAAAGCTTATAAGCCCACTAAGATAAATCAATATGATATAGTAAGCGACTCCTTGTCAACTTTTGAAACTTAATTAAACCCAATTAGTTGTTTGATTCTTGATCGGTTGCCAGATTATAATTGCGAGTACATACTAAGTGGAGATTAATCATTTAAGGTTCTTCAGTGATATTTAACTTTATTAATCCTTCATTTAAGTAATATCTTTACGATTTCAAAATACGATGGAGTTTCGAAACTCAAGGGCTTTGATTCATAAGCTAGAGAAGAGAGGAAATGTATTATGAGAACTTTCTGATGAAATTCATTTCCTTCCTATTTCCTTCGTGTCTTGATTTTTGAATAACTGTGACATTTTGGAGAATAAAAAAATCCGGTACTTTGGTTCTTAATCTAGATAATAGAGAGAGAAAACTAGCATGAGTATTATCTGTCAAAATAAAAGCATTGAGGAGCTCTGAATTAAATCCAACGAGATGATCGATTCTTAATCGAACTACCAGTAAAATATTGATAGTAATAATACGCGTTGAACCCTATAAGCTGCCAATTTATACGATGATCTTATATTCAAGATGAAGTAAAATACTTCCGGTAATGGCCATTTTAATACGGGTTTAAGAAGAGCTGTTCAACTTAGACTACAATCTCAATTTGGTCACTGTTATCTACCGTTTTTTTAAGAATAAATATTGGATGTTTGTATTAAGTAGTGAAAAGTGAAAGTCAGGAAGTCACGATTAAAGAAAATATTTTATTTCCTATTTTGGTCACCAGCAAGTCAGGAAGTCACGATTAAAGAAAATATTTTATTTCCTATTTTGGTCACCAGCATTGCCGTCTATTTGTCGGCCCAAGACCGCTAAAATGTCCTTTCTCCTGAGGATCTCTAGATCTTAGTGACAACTTTGTCTTTTTTGACATTTGCAGAAACACAGTCAGTGGCAGCATTCTTTAGGATTCCTCCAGTTATAATCAGAGAAATCCTGAACGCCTTCATAAAGAGTCAAGAGATGGTTCCATCTAAGACTCTTAAATACAAGAAAACCTTAATTGTTATTATTGAAAATGGATCCTAAGGAAGTTACCGAATAGTTTTGCAAACACTCTTAAATAAAAGAAAACCTTAATTGTTATTATTGAAAATGGATCCTAAGGAAGTTACCGAATAGTTTTGCAAACACTAGTTAATTGAATCAATCGTTTGATGCAATGAGAGAACTGAATTAAAAACATTGGCGAGAGAATTCCATATGATTATTTGGAGTAATGAAACGGTGTTAGCAGTACAAAAAACTTATGTGTAAATCTAATTTGATGAAGTGGAAATATCTCCTTAGAATTATAAGTCCAATATACTAACATTGGATTTGAAAACTTTACAAAATTGTACAAATAGATTCACAAGAATCTAGAGAATGCGGAGAGAACATTGAAATTAGTTTTAAATATCTGAGAGCAATGTTATTCCAGATGTGATATCCTTTAGGAACAGTTATTAGATAATTCTAACAAACTTTATTCAGGAAACTCAGTTACTGATCGAGAGAATACTATCCGAGCATTCGGAGTAGAAATTTAAACTTTGGAACTTTTTCTCTGTCCTTGCCAGACTTTCTTTAAAATTAATTTCTATTATCTTGGAAGCAATGTTATTCCAGATATTACAGTCTTCAAGAATACGAATTAGAATCCAACTACATACATGAAACTAAGTTCCTGAAAATGGAACGATAAGTCCTTTCTATTAGCTGGGGAGCAATGTTATTTCAGATATTACATCCTTCATGAGTTTTAAGAAACTACTTCCATGAAAGTTATTGAAGATTCAATGCTAATTCCTTTGATAGATCACCATTTAACTATATTAACACCAATAGGTTCCATATAAAGGGACACTTTCTCTGTCATTAACAGACTTTCTTCAAAATTACTTTCAAATATTTTGAGAGCGATGTTCTTTCGGATATAACAGTACTCAGGAACACTGATTACGTCGACGAAACTGAGTTGCCGAACAACGAACGTTAACTCCTTTCATTGAGCGCCTATATGTTGCAGATAAAGGAACACTTTCTTTGTTGTTGTTAGGATTTCATCGAGATTAGTTTCTAATATCTTGGAAGTAATGTTGTTCCAGTTTTAAGGTACTACTTCTACGAATTTGAGGTCCTGAAGATTGAAAGATAATTCCTTTTAGAGATTACTTTGTAATTGCCAAGTATTCGCTGAAATTACTTTCAAATATCTTGGAAGCGATGTTCTTTCAGATATAACATCTCTCAGAAACATTGATTGAAAACATTTTAAGATTTTATGTCGACGGTACTGAGTTTCTGTGCAGGGAACCTTTCATAGATTGCCAAAATGTTCCAAATAAAGCAACACTTTCTTTATTATTGCCAGACTTTTGTCAAAATTAGTTTCAAATATCTTGAGAGCAATCCTTTAGGAACAATTATTGAATAATTCTAAGGATTTGTGAGTTTCTGAGGATTGGACACTAATTCCTTTCATAGATCGCCAAAATATTCCAGATAAAGCAACACAGACTAACCTTTCATGGATCGCCAAAATATTCCAAATAAAGCAACACTTTCTTTATTATTGCCAGACTTTTGACGAAATCAGTTTCAAATATCTTGAGAGCAATCCTTTAGGAACAATGATTGAATAGTTCTAAGGATTTGTTTTCACGAAACTGAGTTTCTAAGGATTGGACGCTGATTCCTTTCATAGATCGCCAAAATGTTCCAGATAAAGCAATACTTTCTTTATTATTACCAGACTTTCGCCGAAAATAGTTACTTGGGAGTCATATTATATATACTACTTTCAATCTAACCTAACTATCTTTGTTAAAACAAATATTTCTTTACGACTTTTTTAGAATCGCTGAAATCATTTCAAAAATTGTTCTGATCTCAATTTTGATCGATTTTACTTGATCTCTTTGAAGATTCAAGTCTCTAAATTTGGCAAAAACTTCCAGATTTTACCTAAGAAGTTAAATAACTCTTTTTTTCCTGGATGTTCCTTGGAAAACTCATTAGTCTACTAGTGCTGCCGAAAAATGATGAAATTTTCTTTAACATTTAAGGAAATTTCATGAGAATTTATACAAAAAGGAAACCTTAAAACACACAAGAGTCAAACCCTTTTTTACACAATCCTTTAAATTAACTTCCTTTTAACTCTTTGGCAAAAAATGCCAAAAAAAAAAACAATAGACAAATTCTCAAAACCCTTTCGCCTAAATACCAGGAAAACGCGAAACCCTTTTTTTGACAAAGAAAAAACACTAGAATGCAAATGACATATGTATAAGAAAACATCATAAAACCATAAAAAAATACCTTTTTACAAAAAAAAATTCTAACGAAATTTTATAAAAAGTTATGTTTTAAACAAAAGCACAAATTTGCTTAAACTTCAACAAGAAATAGCGAAGATTATGATTTGTAACATAATATTGTTACATTTTATATATTTTAAAATAATATTAAAGCAATTTTTTATATAAAATAATAGTAATTAAAACCACCCTTAGGTTTTCTATTATAGTTTTCCGAAATGTGAAAATATATTTCAGAATAATCACCCTTTTGTTTCATTGAAATTGTCACACACTGTATTGGTTTAGCTAACAAAAACTACCTGCTTTAACTCCCTTTAAGAGTGTGAGAGAGTAATTATGTTAAAGAGTTGCAAAGGGTGTTCTAACTCTCTCTCTCTTCCACCCTTTACTCCCTTACAGGTAGAAAAGAGAGGGGAATAGGTTAATTATTTCTAAGGGTGATGGATGTAGTAAGTGCCTGTCAATGAAAATTTGCAACGCAAGCGTAGGTGTGTATGAGAGAGTGAGTAACAGAGTGTGTGTGCGTGTGCATTAGAAGAGAAAATGCTTCAAACTTGAGTATATAAGCTGGTCCCGATTGCATTTCAAAATCAGTACACACTGAACATTGTTCAATACAACAACTTAGCATAATACAACAAATTATCTATTACAATTTTTCTAAACAAAATTTTCAATTTTTTACCAAAAATTGTAACGAAAATTTTTCACGCTCTCTAAAACATTAAAGGATTATTATATATACAAGCAACGAATAAACTCAAAACCTAAATATTTGGATTATTTACTTTTGAAATAACAACAAAAACTTATAACACAACATGATGATTCACGAAAAATTAATGTCTGGTCAATTCCTACTGGATTTGAAAAATGGTTAGTATTTGCTCTCTCTTGAAAAACAACAATAATTAACATTAAAGCAAGAAAATACATACTCTCTTTAACGATCTTGCTTCTCTCTCTATCTTTATTAAACAATTTTACTAATTTCCTATTCTCTTTCTTGTTTCCTTTCTAGATCGCTCTGGTTTATTACAAGCTGCTGCTGTGGCTCATCATCAGCAACAACCTTTGCATCATTTACAGCCTCCTTCACCCCCTATGCCTGCTTTGGATATTTACTCCGCCTATGCCTATCAGCAGCAATTGCAACAACAGCTTTTGAACTCTGCTGTGGCTCCTCATCATATGCCCGCCGCCAATCCTGCTCCTGCTCATACCACCGCAGAAGTTCTTGATCTTTCTAGACGTGATTCGGTAGAAACACCACGCAAAACTCCATCTCCCTATCACACTAACTCTAGCTTTGGCACTGGTTCTCCAGCTGGTTCTCCCAATGGTTTTATGGCACAACAACAGCAACCACAACATAACTCAACCGCCTCTCTCTTGCCCGCCAATCTTCTATATGCTGCCCAGGCCCAACAACAAGCTCAAAATCTCAATAATTTGCAAATTCCTGCCAACTTGGCTGCTTTATATCCTGGTCTTTACTATCCTGCTGCTGTTAAGCAAGAACCCATGTCCACCACACCACCACCAAGCTCATTACCTGCCGCACAGCCAGCTCCTGCCTTAGCTAACAATAATCTCTTGCAAACCTTTGCTGCTGCCGCTGCTGCTTCTTCACTTAAACATGATCTTCCAGAGCCTCATTCTCCTCAGCAAGCTCAAACTTCCACCAACACCTCCGCCACCACACCCACCAGCAGCACCAGCAATTTATGCTCACAAGATCCTAAAAACACTAGACCCTTCAAAGCCTTCCCTAGAGATCCTCTTGTAATAGCAGCCAATTTTGCTGCCACTGATGTCCTACTCGACAATCCTCGTGTTGAACGTTATACTGAATACCGTAAACGTGTCTTGGAACAAATTCGCACTTCCAATGGTGGTTCCCGCACGGTAACCAATCCCAAAATGCGCCGCACCAACTCAGCCTCGGGTAGTATACATGAGGGTTCCTCCAGCAATAACAGTGAAAATGATGAACGCCATCACGAAGAGTCCAGTGATTGTGATTCCAATTCTGGACAAGATTCACAAAATGCTGTCAGCTCTTCTAAATCACAAGAAAACTCTTCCAACAACAACGCCGTTACCGGTTCCGGTGGCATGGTTAAAGATGCTGCCTACTATGAACGCCGTCGCAAGAATAATGCCGCCGCCAAGAAGTCTCGTGATCGTCGCCGCATCAAGGAGGATGAGATTGCCATTCGTGCTGCCTATTTGGAAAGACAAAACATTGAACTCTTGTGTCAAATTGATGCTCTTAAGGCTCAATTGGCTGCCTTGACTTCCAAAATGTCTTAAGTTTTCTCGTAAAACGAACGCTCCTCCTCATCCTCCTTCGTTTGCGTTGAACGCTGTTTGAAGCTTATCTGTGACATAATTTACTCTAGACTTTATTAGTAGTAGTATATATAGTAAAAAATCTTTAGCTGTAGACCGGTGGACTGACTAAAACACTGTTTGTTTGTATAGAAAATAATAGTTTAAACAAATTTTACAAAATGTTTAGTTTTAAGTTTTAAATAGTATAAGTTTTATATAGAATTTTATAAATTACTATTAATAAAAATTTTAAAAAATTAAAAAAATATATATTTTTGTTTTATTATTTTTTATAAAAATTCTAAATTTTTAAAGAACTTAATGAAATTGTTTTAAATCTATATTTCATTTACAACTTTCTTATTCAAAAACAAGAAGATCATTTCAAGATCTTTTTTAAATTTTGAACTGGTTTCTGAAATTGAAAAAGAATAGTTCTATATTTACGATAAAGTTTCCACAATAAGACTATCTGGCGATAACCGATTGAGTTTAATCAATCGACCAAACTCAAACTTTGAATAAATTTAGTCCAAATTTGTCGTAATAGAGAAACAAGAGAAAAGAAAGAGAAGAAATTGCCAAACATATTCGCTGCTGATCAAACATTTAGCAAAGCGAGATACTCGAAACAAAAGGATTTTTGACTTGCATATCAGAGTATCTCCATTTCTACTGAAGATACACGAGAGACTAATTGATCTTTATCTTAGGAGAAGTATTGATACTCATCTGGTTAGCATCGATTAACATGTCTACCTCAAGGAGATCCATAAGTTTCTGCTGAAGTGGATAGTTCATATGATTAGTAGCAGGACTATAAAGTCAAGCCCAGGGGATCTTTAGAGGAAAGTTTACCAGGTGATACGTCCCTGTAGTATCCCTCTCTCCCTTCCTATGGTTACTAGCGGTTCTTGGTATTCGAAAGCAGCTTGAATCCAAAGGCAGGAAGATAGTTGCTTATGTGGATGATGATTTCCAGCTCTTTAGTATTCAGCCTGAATAGCAAGCCACCATGGAGGGAAAATACGCAGGAGAGAATGAATAAGGTCTGCAGCCAAATATGGTGAACTGGATTAACAAATCGGTTGTCAGATCTATTCTCACTTAAGCCCAAAGCTATGTCTCACTGGGCATTACAGGCGCTGCAAGGAGTACAGAAAAGTCAGAATTCATACTAAAAATCTATACGACACAGGTATACTTGGTCAGAACATTGTTCCCAGCGAAATATCAGACCATAATATAAGGACTTTACGAGATAACACCATCTATAGAGTTTCCGAATAGGGATGATTAGCTCGGATCCGACAAGCTGTTCAAGGAGTGTGTAGTATATAATGATGTTTCCATGATGAACAATGGTATTTGTGCCGGTATATATATATTGTTGACAATATCACAAAAGACCCTTTTGACTGCATGTCTTTTAATCGGAGATCCTAGAGATCGAACTGTTCAGCGACGTTATATACTAGACTATAGACTAAACCATATACTAGACTTTAGACTAGACTATAGACTAAACTACATATATACTAGACAATATACTAGACTTTAGACTAGACTATAGACTAGACTATAGACTAGGCTATAGACTAGACTATAGACTAGACTATAGACTAGACTATAGACTAGACTATAGACTAGACTATAGACTAGACTATAGACTAGACTATAGACTAGACTATAGACTAGACTATAGACTAGACTATAGACTAGACTATAGACTAGACTATAGACTAGACTATAGACTAGACTATAGACTAGACTATAGACTAGACTATAGACTAGACTATAGACTAGACTATAGACTAGACTATAGACTAGACTATAGACTAGACTATAGACTAGACTATAGACTAGACAATATAGACTTTAGACTAGACTTTAGACTAGACTATAGACTAGACTATAGACTAGACTATAGACTAGACTATAGACTAGACTATAGACTAGACTATAGACTAGACTATAGACTAGACTATAGACTAGACTATAGACTAGACTATAGACTAGACTATAGACTAGACTATACTAGACATAGACTAGACTAGAGACTAGACTATAGACTAGACTATAGACTAGACTATAGACTAGACTATAGACTAGACTATAGACTAGACTATAGACTAGACTATAGACTAGACTATAGACTAGACTATAGACTAGACTATAGACTAGACTATAGACTAGACTATAGACTAGACTATAGACTAGACTATAGACTACACTATAGACTAGACTATAGACTAGACTATAGACTAGACTATAGACTAGACTATAGACTAGACTATAAACTAAACTATAGACTAGACTATAGACTAGACTATAGACTAGACTATAGACTAGACTATAGACTAGACTATAGACTAGACTATAGACTAGACTATAGACTAGACTATAGACTAGACTATAGACTAGACTACAGACTAGACTATAGACTAGACTATAGACTAGACTATAGACTAGACTATAGACTAGACTATAGACTAGACTATAGACTAGACTATAGACTAGACTATAGACTAGACTATAGACTAGACTATAGACTAGACTATAGACTAGACTATAGACTAGACTATAGACTAGACTATAGACTAGACTATAGACTAGACTATAGACTAGACTATAGACTAGACTATAGACTAGACTATAGACTAGACTATAGACTAGACTATAGACTAGACTATAGACTAGACTATAGACTAGACTATAGACTAGACTATAGACTAGACTATAGACTAGACTATAGACTAGACTATAGACTAGACTATAGACTAGACTATAGACTAGACTATAGACTAGACTATAGACTCGACTATAGACTAGACTATAGACTAGACTATAGACTAGACTATAGACTAGACTATAGACTAGACTATAGACTAGACTATAGACTAGACTATAGACTAGACTATAGACTAGACTATAGACTAGACTATAGACTAGACTATAGACTAGACTATAGACTAGACTATAGACTAGACTATAGACTAGACTATAGACTAGACTATAGACTAGACTATAGACTAGACTATAGACTAGACTATAGACTAGACTATAGACTAGACTATAGACTAGACTATAGACTAGACTATAGACTAGACTATAGACTAGACTATAGACGAGACTATAGACTAGACATAGACTAGACTAGACTAGACTATGACTAGACTATAGACTAGACTATAGACTAGACTAGACTAGACTAGACTAGACTATAGACTAGACTATAGACTAGACTATAGACTAGACTATAGACTAGACTATAGACTAGACTATAGACTAGACTATAGACTAGACTATAGACTAGACTAGACTATAGACTAGACTATAGACTAGACTATAGACTAGACTATAGACTAGACTATAGACTAGACTATAGACTAGACTATAGACTAGACTATAGACTAGACTATAGACTAGACTGTAGACTAGACTTTAGACTAGACTATAGACTAGACTATAGACTAGACTATACACTTAACATTAGACTAAGACTAGACTATAGACTAGACTACAGTCTGGCCTTTTTTAACACTTTATAACAGCGCAAGGCACCTTTATTTTTAAAATTGATCGGGTTATTTGAAAGATCAAACTGTCGAGTTTAATGTATGTATATTCTTCCTTCTGTGGTATATCTTAACTTTAAATTTAAAACAATTTTCTTTATTGATTTTATAAGTTTTGAATTTAAAATTGTAATTAATTTGCGATAATTGCAAAATTTTATTTTTTTTTTGTAATTCCATTGTATTTAACATAAAAACCTTATTTTACAAAAAATACATGCAGTGCCACCTACATGTGAAAAATCAATAACCCTATATTTGCTGTTTTGGTTGATGTCTTAGCTAGCAAATACTTTCCACCTTAAGTATAATGTGTAACGGCAGATGTCACCGCAATATTAGGTATATAAACTACTTTTGCTATAAAAAACTTTAAAAATCTTTAGAGATGGCGTGTAAATATATACCGTGCCACCTACATGTTAATATTTTAACAAACCCATTGCTATTATGGGTTTATGACTTTGCTAAGCACTATGAATAAAAATGTATCTATATAAGGAACTGAAGATGTCGCTTTAAAGCGAACGTTATTAACGTTATTGCTGCGTTTGCTTAATACTAATAGCATGCTTTAGGTATGAAATTTATTTAAAGAAATAAATATTTTCGTGTTTACGCGCCTATTATTCGAGTCGCTGCTTTCAGCAAACACTTCAAACTAAATTGTTTGTAGCAAACACGAGATGCGAAAAATACATTGCTTACGATACTTGATAATTTTCTAACACCCACACCAATTAACTCTTCGGGAAATAGTTATCAATCATCATCAACGGATTCGTTGACAGCCGTAGTACTAAAGGATGTGGGGGCAGCTAGAGATTCTATGGGGAAACGGGAGGAAGGAGACAATAAAGGAATGTCCATCCTTAAACCATATGGTGGAAAATTTAGCCCACATGGTGTGAAAAATTGTAACTCTTATGATGGATGCAAAAAGTTGCACTTAAAGTTATACAGGATGACACTATAAGTTGTTTTCGCGATGGACATTCACGTCCATTTTGTTTTTGAACAAAATCTAAAATTAATTTGTTTGTCTCACAACCGTCGCCAGAAACAAAGGCAATTGCACCCCCAGCAAGATATTCACCCCTATTCTGCATTTCAATTCGAATCGAAATTTTCTCCATTTGGCAACTTTGGTATTCTGCATTTCGATTCAAAGCTCGAGCTTCACTAAAATAACAACTTAGAAAAACGTAGTTACGATCGTAATGCAGATATGATATATAGGATGAATCCATCAACTATCGTTTTCGCATCCAGTTATGCAATGTTCGAAAAAAGGTATTCCAACAAAAAACGGGACAACACTTTAGGATTGCGTTGTATTCTGCATGACGTCCAACATAGCTAAGTTTTTGTAAGTTGTCATTTTAGTGACGAAAAATTTATGAAAAGATGTCCATACAAACGTGGCAGAAGCGCATAGACACTGAAAAGGTTCAACAGAAGATAC